GTTTGCAGATGACACTATCCAATAACAAGATTACAACATTATTTCAAAATTTTGAATTAACAAAAATTTTAAAATTTTAATTAACTTAAATTTCTAATTGTTTTAAAATAAACAAGCTTCCATTAAATTTTGAAAAAACTAATTGGAGAATTTTTCATCTAGTTTAAAAAATAAAAGTTCCAAAAAAATCTTCCAAAAAAAACTCCTGGCAATTTACCATTACTTTTTATTCGCAAAATTCTCATAAAAAGAGTAATTAATTCTAACTTTTTGGGTATCAATGAAAAATTTAATTGGAAATATCACATAGAATTGTTGTTTAATAAAGCTGCTAAAAGTATAGAAATATTGTACAAACCTAAAAATGCTTTAAATAAACGTAGTTTAACTCAAGTATATTACTCCTTTATCCATTTAAACTATACAAATATTGCTTGGTTTTGCGGTAATAAATTCAAACTTAGGCCTCTTTACTGTCAACAAAATTATGCTGCTCGTCTTATTAATTTTAAAGATAGATTTCTTTCCAAGCCTCTCTTATTTAAATGAAAATTCTTAAAGCTAAATGTTTGCACTATTGTTTGTTTTATGAACAAATGTAAAACTCTAACCTATTTCATTCCATTCGTTATATAGCTTAAAAAGTAAAACTTAATACAACTTAAGAAATGAAAATTAAATTCGTCAACCATTTTTTCAAACTAATTTTGAAAAATCAAGCATTTCATTTCGTGGAGCTTCTCTTTGAAATAAAATAGTTTTAAAACATTTTGATTATTCTTTGTAATGGAGTCACCTCTCATTCAAATAAAAGCTCAATGAAATCGTTTTGTCTATGGATGATATATTTTTGTAATTTAAAACTTTGAATAATTTAACTTTTTGTGTTTAGTGCAGTGATGTAACTGAATTTGTATATAAATGCACTTTTCTAAGGAGGTTTTCATGGTCAATTGTTTAAAGGACAAGTTTTCTTGTCCTTTAAACAATTGACCATGTACTGGGTTGTATGTATATATGTATGCATTCTTATGTATGTATGTATGCAAATATGTATGCACTTGATTTTTATGAGATTTTTAAATTTTACGAGCGGTTCTCGATTGAGACTTGATTGTCTTCTGCAAGTGTCCGCTTTCTTTTTATTTATTTAATCAAATACTTCTATAATTTTTGTTTATTTATATTTTACACAACCAGAAAATGGTTTTTTAATCTTGACAATTTAATTTGTATAAAGACTTTTATACTTTGTATAAATTTTGAGTTTCAAGTTCTTCATCATCAGCTTCATCTGCAATAAGCCCTGATGGTCTTCTTTGAGTATCCGCGTTTTTTATTTAAAAAAAAAAAGAAAAAAAACTTGCGAAAAATTTTTTTTTAGCAGTTTATTGAATATTTTAATGCTGTAAACAAGGATACTTTTAATAAAAATAAAAATAAAAGATTTTTTGAATGTAAGTACTTAACACATTTGTTTAAACTGTTTTTATGACGCCCCGATGCGTTTTATGTATTTTAGTGGTAGTTTTGTTTTGTTTGATACTTTGGTTGAAAAAGGATTTATAGAAAAATAATAAATGATATAAGAAAAGCTTAAATTCTACTTATAAAAAATATAAAACAGCAATAGTTAAAAAAAAGCAAAAAACACAAAAAATTGAAGTTTAAACGTAAATTTTTGTTTTTAAGAAATGCAAAAAGTTCTGGTCTCGCCTAAGTTACGCTGAAGTCGAACAATAATAAATATACCAACAGTATTAAAGTTTCGCAAGCTTTGATGTTCTCTTGATATTCGCAAATATTGTTTTTCTCAACGAGTTGTTAATATCTGGAACAATCGGACACCAGTAGCTGTGAACGCAGAAAACACATGTGTGTGAAAAATAAATTCTCAAAGTTCAAAAAAACATTGCTTCAAAATCAATAAAATTATGAATATTATTATAATATGGGTAAAGGTCTTACCATTTATATACATATATTTTTTATATTGTCTAAAAATAATCTAACTAAAAAAATTTCTAAAATTTTTTTAGTTAGTAGCAGAAAAGAAAAATCTTTGTTTTGAGTCAACAGTTAGTTTTCAATACATTATAACTCCTTATTGTAAAATAGAAAACTTCTATAAAAAAACCAGACTGGCTTATTAAATTTTATTCTAGTTAGGTCTCCAATTATAGCGATCATACGCAGTTTATTAGGACACTCCCCCCTTTATATAGAGATCATACGCAGTTTATAGAGATCATACGCAGCTTATAAGGACACTCTCCCCTTTTAATAAATTTGGAGAAAATAAATGTTTGAATGTAAAATCTTTTTTCCAAAGATAAAGAAAGTTGTCTCTTTAAGTTATGTTAAACTTGCAGACTTCACGAAATAAAATCAGCACATTATTAACGTAAGCATCTCAATCATGACATATGCGTAACAAGTTTTCCCGGTCTTTTGATGTGTTCAAACGTTTTTAGCTTTTTTGAGAAATTCTCTCCGTTTTGTTTATAATCTGTTATATAATTCTAGTTTTAATGTTGTTTGTCAAGAAAGCTAAAATTATAATGTTTAGTTTTTTTGTATTGTTATTTCAATAATTTATTTAGGTGCCTCCAAGATTTAAACAAGTCGGAATTGACAAGGATAAAGTCGAATGTTTTGGGAGTAAGAAAGCAAACCTGTAGAAACCTCAGTGGTGGAGCAAAGAAGCTTAGCAGGTCTTTTTGGAGGCATTTAGATGCAAAATATCAAAAATACATTATCAAAACGAGACAAGAAACTGTATCCATTATTCGTGCCCTTTACCGCACAAGAAATAACAGAGAAGGTTCATGAATATACTTGCAGAGTTTTGGCCAGAGTGGGCGTCAAAACAATCATAAATGGAGGCAAAAAAGTTTGCATTTTGAGTGGAGGACTCAGCGTTAAGTGAAAATACCGAGAGAAAAAAATAAGAAAGTGCCATGGAAGTGTTACTATAATGTTTTGAAATCTACATGTAGTAAAGCATCATGTCGAGGTGAGACAGGCTTAAAACTAAATATGATCAGACCATTTTGTAAAATAGGATTCAAAAAATGCCTTCAGTTTGATTTTGATGAAGATGAACGTTGATTTTGATGAAGTTGAACGTTGATTTTGATGAAGTTGAACGTTGATTTTGATGAACGTTGAACGTTGATTTTGATGAAGTTGAACGTTGATTTTGATGAAGTTGAACGTTGATTTTGATGAAGTTGAACGTTTATTTTGATGAAGTTGAACGTTGATTTTGATGAAGTTGAACGTTGATTTTGATGAAGTTGAACGTTGATTTTGATGAAGTTGAACGTTGATTTTGATGAAGTTGAACGTTGATTTTGATGAAGTTGAACGTTGATTTTGATGAAGATGAAAGTTGAGGACTTCATTCGTAAAACTGATTTTATCCAGAATGCAACAGCTAATTAAAGTTTCTCAAGATCTTATTTTTATATTTTTTGTTCATAATATATTTTTTATATTTGTTAATGTTATTAAAAATTTATTAGAGGCTTCATTTAAAAAACCGAGATTTTTAAATTAAATCTTTAATAAACTGTTGTTTGTTGTTGATTAAAATGTTAGTTTGTTTCCAGCATTACATTCTGAGTTCCCACTGCATTCTGAGATCCTTATACCTGTATAAAAATCGCGTAATATACGCGTATTCAAATTTTTCTGTATTTTACCTTTTCTTGAGAGTAGATATAAAATTTATGTAAAATAATAAATACTACAAACTACACAATAACTTTTTTTTTTTAATTCTGCAAAATTTATACTTTCAAAGAATTATGTTGAATACCCCAATTTTATGTTACTTTCCCTGTTCACTGTTGCATCTTGCCTCAAAGCGGGATGGCAATACTGTGTTATTGCAATTGCAAGTGTTGCTATTGCAACACTCTTTTTTAATTTTTGTTTCACCATTTCGGTATAACTAAGTTTTATACTATATTCATCAATGTTGGATTAATAATTCACAAAGACTTGTTTTATTACACTTAGAATAATTTAAAAATATAAAATAAACATACACACATTTTATAAAATACTTTGCAACTAGCCCCGGTCTCTGTACTGACCAGCAAATTTATTTTGTTTACTGAAAGTAAACAAAATAAGTTTGTAACTAATTGAAAATTTTACTAAAGCATTTAGTGCTTGCTTAAAATTTTTTTTTTTATGAAATATAATTGACTGTATCAAAATCTCATTCTATATATTTTATTTCTTGTTACTTTTTTTGTTTCTTTATCATTTAGATGCCCCAAGAACAGAGCACCGCAGAAATGCATTTAACCAGGAAGTTCACGCTTTCTTCCTTACCGTAACGCAAAAGTATGTCCAAAGCTTGTTTCGAACCTCCGTTTTCAAATCCCCTGCTTATATAGCAAACGCACTAACCATTGCGCTATGGCCGTGCATTTCTTTTTTATCATATTCAAAATCGTCATTAAAAAAAAAAGATTTCTTAACACTTGGAAAATTTGTGCCATATTCAACTTGATGTATTTTTCAAGTTATTTAAACTTTTTTTAAAATAGTATTTTGAAAAAAAAATAAATTTTGAAAGTATTTTTCAAGTTATTTAAGGTTTTTTGAAAAAAGTTTGCTTATACTTTGTCACTCAAAAAATAACTATTTTTGATCGTTCTTCAAACGTTATTTTTTTGTAAAATAAAAACGTTATCTTGTTTGTCAGTTTTATTTTTCAAAAAAAAAACCAAACCAAAAATATATCTGAACATATATACTTCATAAAATCTTGTTAAAACTTGAAAAGATCAAATGCTGAATTGCGTGTACCAATAAGAAATGCTCTGTAAAAAGACCCACATATAAATGAAGTTCACTCACCAAAAATAAATACAAAAAAAAAGTATAAGTTAATTATAATTAATAAAGCAGACCTTTGTCAACGTAAAGTTAAACAAGTTGATCTTATCAAGACATCTTGATTAACAAACAAGTTGATCTTATCAAAATATATTATAAAGATCTTTTTTGAAAGCATTTTTCAAGATCTCAAGATTTTTTACATCACGAACAATTTCTGGGTGATTTTTATCAAGATGGATAAGTTCTTTCATTTTTAAACTCTTTTCAAAGTAGTATATTGCATTATCATATTCCTTTTTAGCTATATAAACAAACCCTAGACTAGATAAGCTCAAAGCAATTCTTAAGTCTGGCTCACTTTTGTAGATATAATTGTAAATCTCATAACTATTGCAAAAGTATTTAAACGCTTTACCTATATCTTCTTCATCACCATTTTTAAGAAAAACGCCTCTTTCAACATAAACATGACCTTTATTAAAGTAACAATCAGCGATATCTGAGTTGTATTCTGTTTTGTGTACTAATTTGTATATTTTTAGGCTCTTCTGGAAACAGCATATTGCATTCTCATAATCCTTTTTAGCTTCATAAATTAACCCTAGACTAGATAAACTCAAAGCAATTCTTGGGTGTGGCCCCCTGTAGATATGATTGTAAATCTTAGAGCTAATGCAAACGTATTTAAACGCCTTACCAATATTATCTTCACCCCCTTTTTTACGATAAACATAACCTTTATTAAAGTAACAGTCAGCAATATTGGAGTTGTATTCTGTTGTGTGTACTGATTTGTAAATTTTTAGGCTCCTTTTGAGGAGATTGATTGCTTCATCATATTTTTCAGCATCCGCATAAACAATACTTTGGTGTTTTAAAACATCAGCAACATTAGGGTGAGGTTCTTTATATACTTGATTAAAAATATTTAGGCTTTTCTCATAAAAATTATCAGAATCTTCGTATTGTTTACAATCATGACAGACTATTCCAAGATTCATGTAACAAAAAGCAATATCTTTATTTGTTTCGTTCCTTATAATTTCGTTTTTTTTACTACTATAAAAGCTTATCTTTATATTTAAGCTTTCTTCAAACATTGCTCTTGCTTTTTTATATTGACCTAATCTTCTATACAACTCACCTTGATTATTTTTCAAACTAGCTAATATCAAGTTTGACTCAGTTTGATTACTTAATATATTTACGCTTTCTCCAAGAAGCTTATCTGCGTCACTGTAATTTCCATTAGCTGTATAAGCGGCTGCAAGATTTAGTGAATAAACAGCAACTCCATTGCTGTTTATTTTATGGCTATTATCTTGATACTGTTTTTTAAAAATTTCTAAAATATGTTTAAAATGCTTTATAGCCTTAAGATTTTCATCAGTTTTAATGTATATGTCTCCTAACATTTCTCTTATTAATAATTCGTTTTGGCTATTTGAATTGCGTAACGCTTCTTTGAATTTGCTTTCAGCTTCCTTATACTTCATTAGTCTATAATAAATAAATCCATTTGTAGCATCATCATTATGATAAAGATCACTGTCTATAAAAAAATTGTTTTTTTCTATTTCATCTAAGGTTTGATACTGGTCACAGAAATGTTTTAATTTCTCAATTAAAGGTATTGCAGTATAATAATACTGAAACAGTCCTCCTTGCTCTTGTAAGTCAGTTTCAGCTAAATGGAAAACCTGTGCAGCTTGTTTATTTAGTTCAGACTCAGTTTTATCTGACTTTTGATATACTGACATATCTTCTTTCTGCGCTTTAAAATGAGAATATGTAAGTAATCTAAGAGTAGTGGCAAAAGTTAAAGCATTTTTGAGATTATCTCCTGCTTGCAAATTAATCACTTTCTTTTCTACTAATTTATCTACAAAATCCCATCCACTTTCTCCTTCAATGCCATAATATAAAGCAAAATTGTATATCATGCGATCAGCCAATCGGTATATCTCTTGCTTAACTTGAAATAACCGGCCTTCATCTTCAAATAATTTAGGTTGTAATTTTTCTAAATCGCCTACAAATAAGGTTAATTTTTGATGTGAAGGCGTTGACTGAATATAATCATATTCTACTGTTCCCTCGTTAAGTAGTTTAATGGCTCTTATTTCACAGTTTAAACTTTTTGGCTCTTCATTACTTTGAGTATTGAATAAAAACTCCCTTACTTTGCTTTTATAATCTTCAACAAGTGTTTTATTTCCGTATACATAACACACATTTTGTAATATATATGGCAAGTTTTTATCTATATGACTCGCCCAGTTATTTTTATTGCAAACATAACTATACATTCCGTCTATTGTTTGTATTAAATTATATTTTTTATCCCCTCCAGTTCTTCCGAGAGGCGTTTTACCTCCAAGATCAAGGTTAACTGCTACGGGTACGAGATGACTCATATCCAATTCATACTTACTACAAGGAATAATACTTTCTCCTAGATTGATTATTTTGAAGTTAACTAAATGGCTAAGGTTTTTAAAGTAATTTTTTATTTCAAAATTATAACTTTCAGTCAAAATTGCAAACTCTAAATCTGAATAAGGGGTCATTTGTTTTAGTGCCATTGAACCAAGCCCTATTACTGCAAACTCGCAAGGTGCTTTAATAGCCATTTGGTTTATACTGTCATCGTATAACTTAGCCAGAAAATTTTTCATTTGATCAGCTATTACTTCAAACAAGACTTTTGCAGTATTTACGTAAAGCTTTTGTTTCTCTTTTTTATTGCTATCATAAAATTGCTTTCGATAACATTCTACTTTATTTAGCTCTTCGGTGGTTTCGTTTCGCAACTTTAGTAGTAAATTTTTATTTAGTTTTACTTCATCGAGCGCTGTGGGAACATTATTTTGGACTCCACCAATCACTAAAAATATTTGTTTTTGTAAATGAGCTAATTGTTCCTCCGGATTTATATAGTTTGAACTAATAAATTCATTTTTAGCTTTAATATTTATTACACTTTCGCTGAATTTTTCCTTTAGTATTGCAATTATATAATGGTAAAATATAGCTGCCTCAGTGTAATAATTCAGATCTTTACTTAGCTCTCCTAGTTTGGTGGTTAAATAGCCTAGATCTTTCAGAACTATTATCAAACCTTTCAGTTCCTCCATTGACTTCTTGACAGCTAGTTCACGGATCAAAGGTTTATATTGTTCTATTTCTAATTGTTTTAGCTGAGTAATTTTGGTTGTTTCGCTATCTTCTAATTCTAATATTTTTTTTATTTTACTTCTATTTTCTTCTATTTTAGAGTTGTGTAATGGACGATCTAAAAAATGCGACATATTTATACCATTTACTTCTAAATCTGTTTATACCACTCTATAGTAAGCTAATTGCGTTATTGGTAACAACATGTTCTGAAAATTATAATTTTTTTTAACTTTTTTTAAAATTTGCTTTTTAAGTAGTTTATTTTTACTTGATTTCTTTCGAAATTAAGAGAAAAGCTAATCTATTTAATTCAACTCTTCACGCATATAAACGTTAAAAGTAAGTATTTGCACTAAATTTGTTGAGTTGTTTTAACAGCTCACAGATCAAAAATAAATAAAGTAATACCAACAATATATCTCAAAAAAGTTTGAGAGAAAGTTTTAGACATGTACGAGTTCAAACCTAGTTGAAATTCAGCAGTAATCCATCCATAAGAGTTTTTTTAACTTTACTTTTTTTAACAGAATAGTTAGAATAGTTTTTGTTTTAAGCAAGTTTTGTTTTAAGCAAGTTTTGTTTTAAGCAAGTTTTGTTTCTTTAACAAAACGAGCTACAAAAGTTAGCTACAAAAAAAATGTTAGCAAAAGAAATATGAATCTATGTTATACCCAACTTTTTTGTTTTTTGCAAGTTTATTCTTCCAGTAGTAGTTCCCGTACGTACAGTAGGGTCGGTCATACTTTGAAAACTTTGGATATGAGAGCGCGCGCAATATTTTTTTATGTATTAGGACATTAAATAAGACATGAATAAATTTTTTCTTCCTAAAAAGTTTAACTAGTGGGGGCGCATTTTGGGCGCAGGGCATTTGAAAAATGTAAGTTTTACTCAAAACTCTAAAAAAATTAGTATAAAAATCTTATTTGTAATTTTCAATGTACATGATGCAACTAATATATAAAATGAGGTGAATTATTAAACGTGATTATCAATATGTGTGGGCTCGGGGATAATATCCCCCTCTCCTTTGTTATTAAAAACCATAAAAATTGGTTAATATCATGAAATGGGGTATGATTTTTTATATATTATAAAGTTGGTCTATAAGACCAACTTTATAATCTATAACATATCTAATAGTATAAAGTTTTTCTTTTAACATATCTATAACATAGCTAATTTATCAAATAATTACTAAAATAATAGTTTTTTTCAACGTTTTTTTTTTAAACGTGTTCTATTTATTTATGATCACTTTGCCATCCTGTTTTGTAATAAAAAAATAAAGAAAAGATGTAATAAACAAACTTATAACATTAATTTTATAACAAATATTTATTAAAATATAAAGTGTTGAGTGACAGCGAATTTTACAATCCTGTTGGTCTTAATATAATTATGCAGTCGATCTTGTTTTTAAATGGAACATTGCGAAAGACATAGGAAAATTGAGATATACGTCAAAATACTATATGTATACGGACAAACTTGATAACTTAATAGACTTGAGAAACTGTAAATGCAACATTTTATACTGTAATGAAAGTGGAAACAATGGTTGTCTTTTTAAAGCCCATGTGACTTGTATATATCCAAAATCTTTTAAACAAAGATGTTGATATTTTTGTTGATCACAACAAAATAAAACTAGGTTAAAAATAAAAACTAGGTTAAAAATAAAAACTAGGTTAAAAATAAAAACTAGGTTAAAAATAAAAACTAGGTTAAAAATAAAAACTAGGTTAAAAATAAAAACTAGGTTAAAAAAATCTGAGGAAATCTGAGGTAGAGCTCAAAAAACGATAAAAAACAAAAAATACTTAATTTATTTTTTTGATGGACAAAAAGATTTAACTGCACACAGTTTAAGTACAAAGAGTAAGATGGAAAACTACAAACATCTGGGAAAGAAAAAAAAGGAACATTGTTCCGTTTGTTCTGAACCCTGAGGTAAATACCAATTTCATTTTACTAACAATTCTGAAGGAAGAGTAGAAACTGCAGCTGAGCAAGTATCTGATAAGCTTTACGAATGGATTGTGCATCACGATGTTGGAGACTCTTTAGTTGCAGTTGGTACGGACTTAACAAATTTAAACGCCGGTTGGAAAGAAGGTGTTATACACTACCTTGAACATAAGTTGGATAAAAACTAATATGAATAATTTGTGCTCTATATACAAACGAATAACCTATCCGATACCTTATGATTCAGCTGGACGAAAAAACTGCATCAAAAAATAACTTTTCTGGTTCTATTGGAAAACTTATAGGTAAGGTTAATAGCTTTCAAATCAATAATTGCATAATAAAAATTGAATTCCATCTTGACTCTGAAGTTGTAAAATCGCTTTCAGATGATCAAAAATATCTTTATGAAATGAGCATGTAATTAACACAAAATTTTTCTGGACAATCTTAAAAACATAGAAATTTGGCCACAACCGCATGCTCAGAAATCTTACTTTTACTTAAAGAGACATATAGTCTATTATATGTTAAATTTTATGCGCCACTTTAGTTTGAAATCAAAGTAGTATGGAAATGGACTGAAGGGCCTTACCATATACTCAAGCAATTAAAATTTCTTCGTCACCAAACACTTAAAGTTAAAGAAATTGTAATGCCCTATGTTTTATCATCTTCATGAAATGCTTATTGCAAAAATGTTCTTTAAGCATTGATATAAAAGTCTAGAAAAAACAGAATGAGAATTTGCAATTAAAAAAATTGTAAAATTAAAAGGAGATTCAAATTATGGAAACGTTAATGTAAGAAGAAGAAAACGTATACATAATGAAAATGCTGATTTACTTTGTGATCTAACTAATTGGATTTCGGAGGTACATGAACCTTTACTTACATGTTTATTTGAACGTTTTTTACATGTTTAGGATGAACTTTTAAAACACAATGATACCCCAATGTATGTATCTTAATTTCCTGCTCATGGGCAAGCTATCAAAAGATGAGTCTAAAAAGTCACAAGAGCTTCTCAAATTCGTATTTGGAAAAGATAAAAAAGATAGGTCCATCAGAGCATTATTAGCACATTGAGAAATTGTCAAAAAATGATTTATTTAAATTAATTTAGTAAATAATATTATGTTTTTTTGTCTATCTTCTTTTGCCTCGGAAATTTATTTATGATCACATTAAATAACTTAACGTTAAATTTATTTTTTTTCTTAATATATATAGCTATAACAAAATTTTTTTTAGACCAATTTTTTAAAATTCAAAAAGACCAAGCTTCTAAAGTGCGAATAATTGTAGGAACTATATTATTATTATTTATAGTTTTCAGGAAAAATTACATTTTCAAACGCTCTGTACCCACACAAGACAAACTTTTAAAGAGAAAAAAAAATTACTCACGTTTCTTCTAATATACTATTACATAAGTAATGTTATTATGCGGTCTGCCATTTTTAGCATTTATAAATATTTTTTTTCTTGTAAATAAGGGTAGACAACTTCTCTAAAGTCTTCTGTGATTTTATAGCTTTAAGTAGTGTAGTACCATGGGTGTTGTTTTGTTTTTATGTCTATATTATGTCTAATTATTTTTTCATGATTGCATTTCCATTAGCTTTTTTAAAAAAGGCAGAAAAGTGCCATTTTGATGAGTTTTTTGTAAAACTGAGATTTTTGAAACGCCTTGCGCTCCCGCTAGATTTGCAATATTTACAGTTATCAAAAATAAAACAACAGCTATAACAAAAACGCAGACTATAAGGTAAATAGTTTGTATTATCGGCATGAAAAAGCCAACAACTGACAAAGACTTTACATATGTTATTATTAACTGATTAGCACCCATTAAAGTTGATATCACCTCAATAAGCAACAATAAGTTACTTTTATATTTCTTCAATCAAAGCACATTTTATTGAATTAAATATCTAAAAATAAACAAAGAAATTTTCACCTTATAAAGCCTCTTTTTTAAATAAATTCTTTATAAAAAAAAGACTTTCTAGTCAATAAAATAGAATATCCTATCAGTTGTCTATCTGATTGTTTTCAAAAAAAGTACTTGCGTTAATTTAACTTGATAAATTTTGATGCATATTTGTGTTCAATTTACATAAACTAACAAAACGATTGTTTCAGAACATTTTAAAATTCATATACAATAAGAAAAAAATATTTTTAAATAAAAAAAAGTATAAAAAATGCGTTCTCTTCTAAAATATCAGAAACAGAGCCTTGTTTTAAAAAGTTGTTTATTTTTAAACGATCTGAAGAAGTCGAATTTTTAATATATAAAAATATTAAAGGAGGAATAGCACGGGCTGGAGCAAGTGTCTTTTTTTATTTTTTACAACTTTTTTTTTTTTTTTTATAACTGCGCAGTGTCAATTTCTCAACTTAAATATACAAATTTGTAATGATATACATATCTATAAAATAATGAAAGTAAACCAACAACATGATATGATTACATATCTTTAATCTCTGATGATATCATTATATGATCTTTATAATCATATAATGATATCATCATCGCAATCATAATGATCATGATCATTAATTGGTAAGACAACCCAGCCGGCAAATAACGTTAAAATAACGTTGAAATATCGTTGAAACCTAACGTTGAATTTACGTTGATTTAACGTTTAAAATGAAAGTTTTTTTCAACGTTGATTTATCAACGTTAAATCAACGTTAGGTTCAAACGTTATATCAACGTTGATTAATAATATCTTTATAATCATATAATGATATCATCATCGCAATCATTATGATCATGATCATTAACTGGTAAGACAACCCAGCCGGCAAATAACGTTAAAATAACGTTGAAATGTCGTTGAAACCTAACGTTGAATTTACGTTGATTTAACGTTTAAAATGAAAGTTTTTTTCAACGTTGATTTATCAACGTTAAATCAACGTTAGGTTCAAACGTTATATCAACGTTGATTAATAATATCTTTATAATCATATAATGATATCATCATCACAATCATTATGATCATGATCATTAACTGGTAAGACAACCCAGCCGGCAAATAACGTTAAAATAACGTTGAAATATCGTTGAAACCTAACGTCGAATTTACGTTGGTTTAACGTTTAAAATGAAACTTTTTTTCAACGTTGATTTATCAACGTTAAA